GCACACGCGCATGCGCGCGCGTTTTCGCGCGTACTGGCATTTTGCAACATAGAATCGCCAATTTTTTTCTGTCATCATATTTGGTACATTTTTCCAAGCATTTTGATAATTTTTTCACCTTTTATTAACGCAATGAGCGTCCGTCAAAGTTGACAGCACGCGCGGATTTGCGTTATCTTTATCCACAATACATGGGCAAAAACATGCCTATATAAAATTCATTGTAACTCTTTAGAATAGATAGAAACTCCAAATATTTTTTAAGATTTGGATAGATTATGAGTCGGAAATATGATTTCATGTCTCATTTTATCCTCAATTAACTCATGACGTCATCATAATGGCCTCCAAACTCAAATTTCAATTTGCATATTATGACGTCAGCATATTTTTGGAAAATTGATTGTATCTCTGAAAATATTGATCAATTTTCTTTTCAATTTTGATATGTTCTAGCTGAGACAATTTTCTACAAATGTAGTTCACAGTTTTTATTTTTGACAAAAGTATCATGGTGTATTTTTGCGATTAAAGGAGGCATGTCAATTTTTCGCATTTTGCGTGGATTCTCTATGAGACATGACTTTTTCTCAAAACTGGATTCTACGCTCCTGTCTTTCGCGAGCAAAATCTCCGTTGTTTTAGCTTTGTTTTCGCTGAGCTTTGGATATGTTGTAGCTGAGACTATGAGCTATCATATTTGTGCCCTTTTATTCGATTAGATGCCGGGATCATGGTCATATTTCACTTGCAAAGTAGGATTTCAGAATTCCATTTTCCGTTTACGTGTAATCGCTATGGGAGATGTTTGGTATATCGGTAACGCACTTGACTTCCAACCTCGAGATCCCTGGTTCGAGTCCGGGTGTCTCCAACAATTTTTTTCTTCACTTTTTTTTCCTTTTGACCTTCACTGTACCATCTCCTTTGATTATTTAAACACGTAGAATCACAAATAATGTCATAAACAACACTTTTTACTTTATTATTACCCTATTTTCACTTAATCCATTACTTTTTGCGTGTAATCCCTATGGTAGATGACTTTTTCTCAAATCTGGAATCTACATTCCTGTCTTGTGCGAGCAATATCGCCGTTATTTCGGCTTGGATTTGTTTGATTTTTAAGTATGTTGTAGCTGAGACTATATGCTATCTAAATCAACCCTCATTTTTTCAATCAGATGTCATGATCGCGCTCATGATCATTATCATCATGATCATCATTATCATAATGATGATAATCATTTATCAATTACATTTTCATTTCTTTGAATAAGATAAAATCGTCAAAAGGTGTTCTTCATGATGTAAATTAGAGTCAAATGTGTAACTGGTTACTGCACAAGGTCAAAGGTCATATATTGTTTCAATCTATCTTCCCTAGATCCATGATGATCAAGAAGACACAATTTAATCTTGACATATGAATAGATCATAATGGGAGAAGCATATAAATGGGAGAAGCATTTTACAAAATAATATATCGTGTAATGCATTATTCGTTATGTAAACCATTATCATACGTATCACCTAATTCGTCTAAGTGACGAATTAAAGTCTAGTATTTATTTTGTGTCTGTAAAGAAGAAATTATTATTATTCTTCCTCAATTTTGTTCGCAGGATATCTCAAGAATGGCAAAAGCCATTGTCATGAAACTTTCAATGATGATAGATCTTAGTCTAACTTAGAACTGCATGACATTTCAAAGACTCAACATTTTCGTGACGTCATCTAGGCGCCATTTTGTGAAAATCAACTTATGATCATATCTTCAAAACGGAAAGTAATTTTTCATTCATATTTATTATGAATAAGATCAATATCCTACCGGTCAATTTAAGATTAAAAAAACGTGCGCAAATCCGCGCGTACGCGTCTGTGCGCGCGTTTACGTGCGCGCAAAAATTAAAAATGCTCCAAATCATTCCTAATTTTTTTTGCATACGTTTCAAGCCATATGGAGCATTTGACAAAAAATCACTCAAACGCTCATGCGCGCGCGTTTTTTGCGCGTTCTGGCATTTTGCAACATATTATCGGCGCATTTTCCCTGTCATCATGTTTGACACATTTTTCCAAGCATTTTGACACCATGTTCATCTCTTTATCACTATTAATAACGGAATGATCGTCCGTTCAATATAAATATCCGTGCGCGCGAGCTCATATATTACATAGCATATATGGGCAAAAACATGCCTATAAAAAGTCCATTGGGATGAACAAGGACTGCCAAGTTTTTTTTTCATATTTAGATAGAGTATGAGTCGGAGATATGATTTCATATCTCATTTGGCCATTAAATGCATCCTGACGTCATCATAATGGCCTTGGAAGTCAAAAAAAAAATTGCATATTATGACGTCATTATATTTATGGACAATTTAGTGTATTTCTCATAATATTGATTGATTTTCTTCCGAATTGCGGTATCTTGTTAGTGCGGCAATTGCCTACAAAATAAATACACACTGCTTTTTATTTCATTGATGTCATCATAGTACAAAATTCAATTAAAGGCCACATGTCAGAATTTTCTCAATTTGCGTGTTATGCCTATGTAAGGTGAATTTCGTTCACATCATGAATCTACATGACGTTGATCTTTGAGCACTATCTAGCTTATTTGTGCTCTATGTTCTCCCAAATCTTGATACGGTGTAGCTAAGAAAATCATCTACAAGAATGTTGAACATCATTTATCATTTTGATAACATCATCATAGTGAAAAATTCAATTGAAGCGGAAATGTCAGAATTTTCTTAGTTTGCGTGTTAGGCGACTATTTTCTTAAATCCTGATTCTACAATCTCTATCAAATACCTGAAGGGGGTGCTATACCACTCTTTATCATGGTCACCAGGGAATTTCAGTATAAACTTTTACATAATATCATATTTTGTAATGATAAACTGTATCTTTTTGGATTAACTCAGTCAAATGTATGTTCTTTTTGTAGAAAAGAGGTAAAAACCTATCGTCTTATCTTCTTTGAATGTTCTGAAGGGTCCAGAATATGGAATGAGGTGGAAAACAATTTAAAGATTTTTCAGTTTCTTAATATGCAATGGATTAATGTGTTACTTGGTTTCATGTTCTGCCCCTCTCCCTTTTTTGGTCTGTCTCTGCATCTATCTATATCTCTCTCTACTCTTTCACCCTCTCCCCCTCTCTCTCTACTCTTTCACCCTCTGCCTCTCTCTCTCTCTTGCCTTGCCTCCCTCTTATTCTATTGCTCTGTCTCCCTCTGCCCTACACAGTTGAAACTTGACTCATGGATAGACCATAAATGGGAGAAGTATTTCATAACAAAAGATGAAATCGTGAAAATGCATTCTTCATTATGTTACATGAGCATAATTACGTATCACTTAATTCGTCAAAGTGACGAATTAAAGTCTAGTTATTATTGTTTTCATTATTATCATAATTATAATTCCCATTATTATAGTTATTACTATTACAATCATTTTTATTATTAGTATGATTATCATAATTACTATTATTATTACTAATATTATCACTTTTATTATTATTATCATGATTATCATCGTCATCATTTTTATTATTATTATTATTATTATTATTATTATTATTATTATTATAATCATTATTATTATTACTATTACTACTGCTACTCTTGTTTTAATTAATAATAATATTAATAATAATAATAATAATAATAATGATAATAATAATAATAATAATAATAATAATAATCTTTTAAAGTCCACTCCAAATTTTATTAAGTTAAACCGAAAATGGAAATTCATTTTGCCCGGCAGCCACTGAGCAGCGCAAGATCGACGTAGTAGTATTATTAATAGTAAAGGTAGTAGTAATAGTAGTAATAATAATACTAGTAGTACATTTGTAGTAAGTACAGTGACTGTCATTACCTCCTGTGTCACATTATACATGAATGTTTCACAAGCAGGAGAAGTCAAGCTATCGCTCGTACACCCTTCCGTTGTGGCCCCTTCTACAGCAAATTCAAAGTGATAAGTTTTATTGGCATCTCCATCTAAAATGCATAAGAAAACAAAAAGAGAAAACTTATAAATACAATCATCGTACAGGTGCAACAGAGACCGGGTTTGAATGAACAGAATCAGTTTCTGCAGGTTTTAGCCAGTCACAACTTCACATCAAAAGTCAGATTATTCTTGCAATGTTGAGTATGAAATTAACATACCTCTTAAATGTTATCTGTCTCTCAATAAAGAATTATACATTGATCGCAGATGAAGTATTATATTTCCGTCAAAAAGTGAATTTCTTGTCCATTTCAAAATTTGATCTTGTAAATACATTGACATTATAACATAAACTATCTCTTCGTCTCGGCGTATGATGATAATGCAAAGTTAACGTGTTTACTTCCACACAACCCATAATATTTCTTTTGAAAAATAAATGGAATACACTATTTCGACTGTGACAAAATTAACTTGAATTTTCGATTGCTTATTTGGTAAAATAATGCAATATATAACTTATATATACAGACAGGATTTACTTTAAACGAAAATTTTCTTTTACATAAATTTTTATACAGTAGGCTTGCGGGTGCACCATGTGTGAGAGAGAGGGAGGATTGAGGAGTCCTGAAAAGGGCTCTGACTCGGTAATCTTTCTTGAGGGTTTGTTAGTCCTGAAAAGGACTGTTGGTAAAGTCTTGAAAAAGACTGTAGGTTATCTTTCTTAGCTTATAGTTCTAAGGAGAACTAAAGCGCTTGGAGAGGATGAGTGACGGGAGAGGCTCGACGTTTCGAACAGGTTGACTATCCGTCGTCAGGATTTTTTACATTTATAGCATTACAATTTCAAACATTCACGCTCTTTCATTCGCTACGTTCCTTCGTCGGTTCTATCCATTTCACTGTTACCATTTTAGGGGAACGCGTTATACTGTTCTGGGTTTAGTTCCTATCATGCTGGACAACATTTATTTTGATTGATTACATTGGGCATGTAAGTGAGTTGACTTACCTATGTCTGGCAATGTTGGTTCTGGGACCGGCCCCACTCTGGGGGGTTGTTCCGTTGAAGGTTCCGTCGGAGGTTCCGTCGGAGGTTCCGTCGGAGGTGTGGTCTTAGGTGTGGTCTTAGATTCCATCGGAAGTGTGGTATTCGGTTCCATCGGAAGTGTGGTATTCGGTTCCATCGGAAGTGTGGTATTAGGTTCCATCGGAAGTGTGCTATTAGGTTCCATCGGAAGTGTGGTATTAGGTTCCATCGGAAGTGTGGTATTAGGTTCCATCGGAAGTGTGGTATTAGGTTCCATCGGAAGTGTGGTATTAGGTTCCATCGGAAGTGTGGTATTCGGTTCCATCGGAAGTGTGGTATTCGGTTCCATCGGAAGTGTGGTATTCGGTTCCATCGGAAGTGTGGTATTCGGTTCCATCGGAAGTGTGGTATTCGGTTCCATCGGAAGTGTGGTATTAGGTTCCATCGGAAGTGTGGTATTCGGTTCCATCGGAAGTGTGGTATTCGGTTCTATCGGAAGTGTGGTATTCGGTTCCATCGGAAGTGTGGTATTAGGTTCCATCGGAAGTGTGGTATTAGGTTCCATCGGAAGTGTGGTATTAGGTTCCATCGGAAGTGTGGTATTAGGTTCCATCGGAAGTGTGGTATTAGGTTCCATCGGAAGTGTGGTATTGGGTTCCATCGGAAGTGTGGTATTGGGTTCCATCGGAAGTGTGGTATTCGGTTCCATCGGAAGTGTGGTATTCGGTTCCATCGGAAGTGTGGTATTAGGTTCCATCGGAAGTGTGGTATTAGGTTCCATCGGAAGTGTGGTATTAGGTTCCATCGGAAGTGTGGTATTCGGTTCCATCGGAAGTGTGGTATTAGGTTCCATCGGAAGTGTGGTATTATTATAATTATCCGTTGTCGTTTCCGTCGTAGGCTCTGATGTAACCCCTGTCGAAAACCGTCAAACACGTCAAAAAGAAAAGTAATCTCAAAGTTTGATTATTGCTACACCTTTCTTTACAGCTTTGACGAGGAGCTCATTTGAAAGCTCCTACAAAGTAGTTTATTTTCCTTTCCAGTAAACCATTATTAATGATAATAAATAATTGATGATACTTCTACTACTGCTAGGTATAGCACACCAAAAATAAGTACAACACATGTTATTTGATGATTGTAAATGATCAAGCTTTATGAAAGCTTCAAAAAACAAAAAACAGAATTGAAATCGGTCAATGCGTTGTGATTTTATATCATGTTTTTGATATCGCAAAATTACAGAAAAGCCTGCCAGAAATGGTCAAATTGGCAAAAATGGCAAAATTCGACAAAGTTGACAACTTTAAATAATTCATCACTTTCTTAGACACAAATAATAAATTAAATTATCAGACACTAAAATATCATCTTTGTGGTAAAAAATACAAAAAAGAAAATTCATATATCTATCACCGTTTTGAAAACAGAAGCAAACAATATAAGTCATTTTTGCAATTTTTGCGAATCTGCAGATATGAAAAAGTTGTGAAAATAACTAAGTCCGTCTAATTAATATGCGCATATGTAATCAAATCAAAACCGAACATGATACATCAATGAAACCTATGTATATCAGACAAGTATGGAATATTTTTTAATTTTTTTTTTAAGAAAAAAAAAAATATGAATATTCATCAGATATGCAAATTAGGTCATTTTAGCTAATTATATATATTAAAAGTCAAACTGTTCATTTTGTTGGCATTTTTTTAAATAATTTATTTATTGATCATATTTACACCAAAAATTAACATTAAATTCCAAATATTTTTGCAATGCCGATAAAATATGGCGATGGAAATTACTTGGATCACCGTTACAGCTATTTCCTCATATGTTTCACAACTTTTTCAGAAAAACCGAACAAATGATAAAAATTTGCAGACTTTCAGCTACATCACAGTATAGTTTTTTTTTAAATGTCAGATTTGAAGATTTATGACGATTTTCCGAGAAACCATTCAATTCAACAGGCCATAACATTCCACAGGGACTGACTTTCAGAGAAAAATAAAGTTTGGTGACCTCAGTACAGCTGTGGTTACCTTGAGTGTAAATGACAAATGTATTCAATGAGTGAAACACATAAGGATATTGCATTTTTGTAGGGGAGTTTTATACATTGAAGGGCATTTTCAACACGCAGAATAACAGTCAATGGGCGATCAGCGGACCATGTCACACATGGCTGAAAAGACAATATTCTAATTAATAATTTAACATATTTCCCACATGCCTATAACAATGAAACTACACAGAATTGTAGTTAAAGGTATGCTTGAAAGATATGTGAAATACAAATTTAAAAATATTGTTCAGTTTTTTTAAAATAAATTTACGAAAACTGCTATTTCTACCAACTGACTGCTGTGTGTGTGTGTGTGTGTGTGTGTGTGTGTGTGTGTGTGTGTGCACTTGTAATGACCGTCAATCGGGGAGGTTCATATGAATACACAACTTCCAACTGTGGAGACACAGCAAACCGTGGAGCTCCACAGTTGCAGAATCATTAAAAAGAGATTTAAATCAGCTTTGGGACATCTCAGTAGTACCCCATCAACGTTCGGCTGCGATTTAACTCCATCCCCGGTTTCCCACTTTGGAGTCATAGCTTGCAGCCTGAATATGTGTATTATTTTCCGATCTCAAGAATAATATCAAGTGAAGAGCGCCAGCATGAGGATACACACTGCACAGTCTGTATCTTATTAGATGCAGCGCATGCGCAGTGCTGGTGCAGTGCACCTTGCGACGTGCCTGTTAACGTATATGGACATGTCATGGCGGGATTAGTACAGCCACAACTGGCAAAAGTAAGTAGAACTAGTCTAGATCTAGAAAGTTTACTTTCATTTTTAATCCAGTCTAGGCCCATTAATATTCTATCAACTTTTTAAAGAATTCCTTAGGCCTATAGATCTAGTTCTATTCATGATATTGGGTACAAAAAACTCATACATAGATCTAGATCTAATCTAGATCTAAGTAAGATGTAGATCTAACGTTAGGCCTAACGTTAGGCCTAGCCCTAGACTAGTACTACTAGTCTAGGCTACTAGTAGTAGTAGATCTAGGTCTAGTATAAGTTCTTCTTAGGCCTAACTTTAGAGTTAAACTAAAGGAATATCTAGTAACGTTAGATTCGAAGGTCTAGACTCTATTTCACATCAGCCAGATTTAGCCTAAATGTGTGCATGGGAAATGTGGAGCCATAGGTCTAGGCCTATCTGTATATAACTCACATGGGCCAGATGTGTATAAATGTGTGCATGGGAAATGTGGAGCCATAATAATCTGGGTCAGATGTGTATAAATGTGTGCACGGGAAATGTGGAGCCATAACTAGATATAGGCTAGATCTACATGGGCAATATGTGTTTAAATGTGTGCATGGGAAATGTGGAGCCAAATATATATATATTACACATGGGCCAGATGTGTATAAATGTGTGCATGGGAAATGTGGAGCCATAGACTATATATATATATATATATATATTACACATGGGCCAGATGTGTATAATTGTGTGCATGGGAAATGTGGTCCCATGTTTATCTCAACTATTTAAGGTGGATTGAAGATTTATAAATGTGTGCATGGGAACTGTGGAGCTATTATACATGGGCCAGATTTGTATAAATGTGTGCATTGGAAATGTGGAGCCATATCTATATATTTTATACATAGGCCAGATGTGTATAAATGTGTGCATGGGAAATGTGGAGCCATATATATATATATATATAATGGGCCAGACGTGTATAAATGTGTGCATGGGAAATGTGGAGCCATATCTCTATATATATATATATATATTACACATGACCCAGATATGTATAAATGTGTGCATGGAAAATGGGGAGCCATGTTTAACTGAACTATTTAAGGTGGATTGAAGATTTATAAATGTGTGCATGGGAACTGTGGAGCCATTATACATGGGCCAGATTTGTATAAATGTGTGCATTGGAAATGTGGAGCCATATCTATATATTTTATACATAGGCCAGATGTGTATAAATGTGTGCATGGGAAATGTGGAGCCATATATATATATATATAGATCTACATGGGCAATATGTGTTTAAATGTGTGCATGGGAAATGTGGAGCCATATATATATATATATATTACACATGGGCCAGATGTGTATAAATGTGTGCATGGGAAATGTGGAGCCATATATATATATATATATATTACACATGGGCCAGATGTGTATAAATGTGTGCATGGGAAATGTGGAGCCATATATATATATATATATAATGGGCCAGACGTGTATAAATGTGTGCATGGGAAATGTGGAGCCATATCTATATATATATATATATATAACACATGACCCAGATATGTATAAATGTGTGCATGGAAAATGTGGAGCCATGTTTAACTGAACTATTTAAGGTGGATTGAAGACTTATAAATGTGTGCATGGGAACTGTGGAGCCATTATACATGGGCCAGATTTGTATAACTGTGTGCATGGGAAATGTGGAGCCATATATATATATATATATAATGGGCCAGACGTGTATAAATGTGTGCATGGGAAATGTGGAGCCATATCTATATATATATTACACATGACCCAGATATGTATAAATGTGTGCATGGAAAATGTGGAACCATGTTTATCTGAACTATTTAAGGTGGATTGAAGATGTATAAATGTGTGCATGGGAAATGTGGAGCCATATATATATTACACATGGGCCAGATGTGTATAAATGTGTGCATGGGAAATGTGGAGCCATATATATATATATATTACACATAGGCCAGATGTGTATAAATGTGTGCATGGGAAATGTGGAGCCATATATATATATATATATTATACATGGGCCAGATTTGTATAAATGTGTGCATGGGAAATGTGGAGCCATATCTATATATATTATACATGGGCCAGATGTGTATAAATGTGTGCATGGAAAATGTGGAGCCATATATATATATTACAAATGGGCCAGATGTGTATAAATGTGTGCATGGGAAATGTGGAACCATATATATATATATTACACATGGGCCAGATGTGTATAAATGTGTGCATGGGAAATGTGGAGCCATATATATATATTACACATGGACCAGATGTATAAATGTGTGCATGGGAAATGTGGAGCCATATATATATATTACACATGGGCCAGATGTGTATAAATGTGTGCATGGGAAATGTGGAGCCATATATATATTACACATGGGCCAGATGTGTATAAATGTGTGCATGGGAAATGTGGAGCCATATATATATATATATTACACATAGGCCAGATGTGTATAAATGTGTGCATGGGAAATGTGGAGCCATATATATATTACACATGGGCCAGATGTGTATAAATGTGTGCATGGGAAATGTGGAGCCATATATATATATTATACATGGGCCAGATTTGTATAAATGTGTGCATGGGAAATGTGGAGCCATATCTATATATATTATACATGGGCCAGATGTGTATAAATGTGTGCATGGAAAATGTGGAGCCATATATATATATATATATTATACATGGGCCAGATTTGTATAAATGTGTGCATGGGAAATGTGGAGCCATATCTATATATATTATACATGGGCCAGATGTGTATAAATGTGTGCATGGAAAATGTGGAGCCATATATATATATTACAAATGGGCCAGATGTGTATAAATGTGTGCATGGGAAATGTGGAACCATATATATATATATTACACATGGGCCAGATGTGTATAAATGTGTGCATGGGAAATGTGGAGCCATATATATATATTACACATGGACCAGATGTATAAATGTGTGCATGGGAAATGTGGAGCCATATATATATATTACACATGGGCCAGATGTGTATAAATGTGTGCATGGGAAATGTGGAGCCATATATATATTACACATGGGCCAGATGTGTATAAATGTGTGCATGGGAAATGTGGAGCCATATATATATATATATTACACATAGGCCAGATGTGTATAAATGTGTGCATGGGAAATGTGGAGCCATATATATATTACACATGGGCCAGATGTGTATAAATGTGTGCATGGGAAATGTGGAGCCATATATATATATTATACATGGGCCAGATTTGTATAAATGTGTGCATGGGAAATGTGGAGCCATATCTATATATATTATACATGGGCCAGATGTGTATAAATGTGTGCATGGAAAATGTGGAGCCATATATATATATTACAAATGGGCCAGATGTGTATAAATGTGTGCATGGGAAATGTGGAACCATATATATATATATTACACATGGGCCAGATGTGTATAAATGTGTGCATGGGAAATGTGGAGCCATATATATATATTACACATGGACCAGATGTATAAATGTGTGCATGGGAAATGTGGAGCCATATATATATATTACACATGGGCCAGATGTGTATAAATGTGTGCATGGGAAATGTGGAGCCATATATATATTACACATGGGCCAGATGTGTATAAATGTGTGCATGGGAAATGTGGAGCCATATATATATATATATTACACATAGGCCAGATGTGTATAAATGTGTGCATGGGAAATGTGGAGCCATATATATATATATATATATATTATACATGGGCCAGATTTGTATAAATGTGTGCATGGGAAATGTGGAGCCATATCTATATATATTATACATGGGCCAGATGTGTATAAATGTGTGCATGGAAAATGTGGAGCCATATATATATATTACAAATGGGCCAGATGTGTATAAATGTGTGCATGGGAAATGTGGAGCCATATCTATATATATATTACACATGACCCAGATATGTATACATTTATGCATGGGAAATGTGGAGCCATATATATATATATATATTACACATGGGCCAGATGTCTATACATTTGTGCATGGGAAATGTGGAGCCATTTATATATTACATATGGGCCAGATGTGTATAAATGGGTGCATGGGAAATGTGGAGCCATGTTTATCTCAACTATTTAAGGTGGATTGAAGATGTATAAATGTGTGCATGGGAAATGTGGAGCCATATCTATATATATTACACATCAGCCAGATATGTATAAATGTGTGCATGGGAAATGTGGAGCCACATTTATTATTGCATATGGGCTAGATATGTATAAATGTGTGCATAGGAAATGTGGAGCAATCTATATCTATTGCAAATGAGTCAAATATGATAAGATGTGTGCATGGGAAATGTGGAGCCATGTATTTACATGACCCCCTTGATGTACATCATAATGGATGTGTTTCATAATACCTCATGATTTTAACAAATAATATAATAAAATTGAGCATGGATATGAGTAGCAATATTTTGGCAAATTCCAGTATGATAAGGGGGAGGATGTGGGGGGGGGGGGGGTGTAATATTTAGATATTTTCTTCCAGCTTGCTCACAGCTGTGTTTCTGCATAATATTACTAATATTTACTTGACCTGTTTCAGAATCGGATTCTCAGAAGTCAAACCAGACAGACAGTTCCAGATATTTTTAGTGAAGTTGATCCTGAAGGATTTACAGTGAAACAGCTGCCTGACAAAGGTGAGTGAGGTTACATACATGTACATGTAGATTGTATTAATAGTGAAAATTCACTGTAGCATAGATATCTAACATTAATATGCTCAATAAAATATTGATTCAGAGCTAGACTATGCAAGGAACGCCTGGTATGGTTCTTTGATCACACCTCATCGCCTATTGTCTGAAAATCACCAGCTCTTTTCAGAGTAAATTTGATACCCTTCGCAGTTAAACAGGTCAACTTCTTTAGTAAAATCTATACCCTTTCTGTATATTTCATTAATTTCATGCAGTAGAATATTTGATATGCTTTCCCTCATATTTTTCTGTTTTTATAATCTTAATTCAACACTTAATTGCGTGAAGCAGTCTTCAATGGCAAAGTGTTGAAAATAGAATCAATTACCACTACTGCATTTTCGTCTACAAAATACTCAATAATCTAGCCCCTTATTTAGAATCTTTTGGTCATAATCGTCCAGTTTACTTTGTTACTTGTCATTCTACCTTAAATCCCTTATTTATCCTGAAACCAAAGACTGAATTTAAAAAACGTTCTTTTTCTTTCACTGCTCCAAGCATCTATAACAATCTACCGACTCATATTCGCACGGAAACTTCACTCCAAATGTTAAAAAACCAAATTAAGTCACTCCCTCTATCACTTTAATGCATGCACTGGTACCTAATGTTATATCATGACTTTTACCATAAGTTAGTTTTGTTTGTTTGTCTGTTTGCAGTTGTGTAGTCTATTTTTACGGCATGTGTATTTTTTAAAATATTTTTTTGGTCATTTTTCTTTGTATCAATAATATCTTAAATGTTTAATATTTAAGGCCTTTTGTTCATTTTGATCTAGTTTTTATTTTTTTAAAGCTTTTTTTTTAATGTTTTCTACAATGTATTCTATTTTTTTGTAAATATTTGTATGTACAGGGCTCTTTTGTAAAGCAGGAGGTATTAAACTTGATTTGGTTAAGTGTTTAAAGGTTAGACCTTGAAATGAATTTTAATGCCTCCTCATGGGGTTGAATGTCAAAAAGTTTTTAGAAAATCTAGAGAAAACGTCATGTTCATCATGACATGCATGACACTGTAATTTAATATCTGCAGCATACTAATATTAAATACAATGTGTTGCTTACAAGTCTGCTTGATGGCAATGTGACCAAAAAGACACACAAATGTTATTTAAAACTCAACCAATTTTGAAAATAAGTGCCTTCTTACAAGTACGAGTCTGAGTTACTTATCACACCTGAGCATTATCTTAAATGACAGACAAATATACTTGTAACATCATATTCACAATGTTTAAACTCGCATGATTGATCTCATGAAGATTATGTATTTCTTCAATCACAGGTAGAGCAGTCTTTACCACCAAAACGTTTGAAGAGGGAGAATTCCTTTTGTGGTACAGAGGAGATCTGGTAACCAGAGATGTGGGGGAAAGAAGAGATGCAGACTGTGAAACTTGCTTCAGATACTTTTTCACATGGAAAGGGACGAAATGGTGGTAAGTCTACATACTATGACGACTTGATTTATTGAAAAGTATATTTTGTAATGATAGGTGTTGAAAACAAACCTAAGGCTATATGCTTATGACGTAGTCGTAAACATGTGGGTTGACAGGGCAACATATTTTCTACCAGTGGTTTTTGTTTTTTCCCTAGAGAAAGATCGAAAGCTAGTCATATCTGTCAAATTCTATTCCGTGCTTTTGAATAAACCCGTGGACTGACCACATACAGTACACATACATTTTTCTGCAGAAAGTATCAATACGGCAAGGACAGCATAGAACAAATATGCAACTTATATTCTTCTCTATCTATTCAAACCTGTTTTAGCTATCATACAAAAAACACACAATCTTACCAATGACAATTATTCAACCTTGTCAGTCCAACAGATCATATTCCATTTTGGAGAGCATAAAATGAGAATATAAAACAATATTTGGTACAAATATTGGATATAAAAGAAAGGTGCATTACACTGAAAAGTCCATGTTTTTTTTTTGTACACTCCACATTTCATCTTACAGATGAAACAGATTCGGAAATTTCTATGCAACTTGCACCACCTCCCTCTCCCTCCAGTGAAGTTTTAAATGATGAAACAGATTCGGAAATTTCTACGCAGCTTGCACCACCTCCCTCTCCCTCCAGTGAAGTTTTAAATGATGCTGGTTCATCAGTTCCCTGCAATATGTCATCGGAAGACTCTTTTTCTACTCCCCCTTTCTTCTACACCTCATCTTCACTTCAGTCTGATATTACTTCATCTGTTCATTCATTACTTCCCCTAACACCTCCCCGCACCCCCCAATCAACCCCTCACACAACCCCTCCCTCAACCCCTCTCCTAACCCCTCTCCCAACCCCTCTCCCAACCCCTCCCTCAACCCCTCTCCTAACCCCTCGCTCATCAACTCCTCATTCAACTTCTTCATCTGCTTTGTCTCCTCCTCTCCCTTCCCATCCTCCTAATTCATTTCTTTCAATGTCTGTTGTCCAGCGTCATCCTCGCATTGTAGCTGGATTTCTCATTTCGCTACTCCTGCTTGTTGTCTTTATACATCTTCTGCTTTTAATTTCTGTTATCCTTCTTTGTTAAATGTTCATCATTCATTTTGTAATTTCCCAAATTTCCTCTTCTTTATAATCTGGGAAGATGATCTGAGATGGGCCAACATTATGTCAAATGGTAAGATTTATTGAAAAATCATTTGAAAACTTGAGAACAAAAATCATACAGTTGGTAAACATAATCTTCATTGAGGATGTAGTTTTCAATGCACAATTCAAACCCTGCATTGGATTTCCTGCTTTCTTTGCTCATTCTAAAATAATATAACACTGCATACATGTTTGGTCCGTTTGATATGAATTCAGGTTTGTGCTAGTAGCCACTTTTTATATTGTATTCTTTATTTGCTTTTTGGAGCTACGTTCCACTTTTAAAGATTAGATAGATTATTTTCTTCTTTCCCCCCTCATTCTACACGTCTGTTCTTGTTTATCATAATGCTTTTTTTCCTTTTTCCCATGCTATTTTTTAATCTTTCCTCATCTCTCCCTCCCTTCTTCTCCTTGGACTCATCTTTCTTCTCCGCATGTTCCTTCTCCCCTGCCGAAGCCTTCTTCCATCTCTCCCACCCAGTGTAAACATCTTGTGGATAGATATGTCCGAAATTGTACATTTTCCCTTTAGTTTGTTGCCTCTCCTTGCCCTTTCCCCAATTTGGTCGCTTCTCTCTCTTTTTTGTTATTTTTGTTATACCATGTAATGTCTTTGGCTCTCGTATTTCAGAGGGTCTTGAGAGGATATATTTTGTTCGCAATGCTGTTGCCCGTGGCTTGTAGGGCGTGTCGTTATTCGACCTTTGTGTTTTTTTTTAAATTTTTTTTTTATTTGTATTTATATTGAAAAAATCTTCCACGGTTAGTTCGTCGTCTTTTTTCGCCTCGGTACTCTTGTCTGATGCACGGTGACATTTTGTAGCATTACAATTTTAAGGCAAATGAAAAGTAAACATATGCATGTTTAATGTTCATGATATTGGTTATGATTTCCAATGCCTACATGTAATGTTACCTATTTGTTTCCTATGTTACTTGTATTTCAAATTTCCTCCTAAAATTAACCATGCGTTAACAAAAATCATGACTGTAACGATTCTTCTTTGAGTGATACCCTACTTGAAAAGTAACAGTTAATCAAATAATATCTGACAACAGAGAAAACCTAAAGTGAAATCACAAATTGTAACCCACATATACTTAGTTTCAGTGATTCATTGTAATTTTAAACATTGATGAATCTAATGTTTTCATTTTTTTTCAATTTCATTTCCAGTAGGGATGCATCAGTCGAACCAACTAAACAACAACTGGGACGACTCGTCAACCATGGTTGGAGGGGTGAAGTCAACAGCAGAATGAAGATTAGAGAGAACCCTCACAATGAACCAGAACTGGTTCTCTTCTCATTGAAGAAAATCAAAGAAGGTGAAGAAGTGTTATATGATTATGGGGTGGGAGATAATTTTGTATTCCCAAGTCCTACTCAATTACACAGTGGAGTCCAAGATGAAAAACCTGAAATTCTGCAAAATTCTGCAAACCTCCCACCAGACCCAGAAAAAGTTTGTTCACCATTCTCCGAGCCTGCCACACAAGAACTACTGGAACCAGATGGAAACTTTTCACAGTCCAATGTTCGAGCTGATGATGATGAAACATCTGAAGATCGATGCAGAAACCCCCCTAATAACGAAACAAATTGGGAACCATCCCCTAAGCCTGCCACACAAGCTTTAATGGAATCAGATGGTAAGATTTCACAGTTCAGTGTTTCAGCTGATAATGATGACACATGTGATGATCCATGCCGGAACCCCTCTAATAACCAAGAACATTGGGAACCATCCCCTGAGCCTGCCACACAAGCGTTAATGGAATCAGATGGAAAGCTCTCCCAGTTTGATGTTCCAGTTGATAATGATGACACATGTGATGATCCATGCATAAACCCCCCTAATAACCAAGTGCATTGGGAATCATTTACTGAGCTTGCCACACAACCTTTAATAGAACCAGATGGAAACCTTCCACTCTCCAATGTTCTAACTGATGATGCTGAAACATCTGATGATCTATGCAGAAACCCCCCTAATAACGAAACAAATTGGGAACCATCCACTGAGCCTGCCACACAAGCTTTAATGGAATCAGATGGAAAGATTTCACAGTTTAATGTTTCAGCTGATAATGATGACACATGTGATGATCCATGCATAAACCCCCCTAATAACCAAGTGCATTGGGAACCATTTACTGAGCTTGCCACACAACCTTTAATGGAACCAGATGGAAACCTTTCACTGTCCAATTTTCTTGCTGATAATGATGACACATCTGATGATCTATGCAGAAACCCCCCTAATAACCGAGAGCACTGGGAACCATTCCCTGAGCCTGCCACACAAGCATTGATGGTACCAGATGGAACCCTTTCACAAAATATTTTTTCAAGTGATAATGAGGACACATTATCTGACCATAATGATGATAGTGATGATGATCCAGACTATGTCTGTGATTCTCAAGGAGATTCTGACTCTTCAGGGAAGACTTCATTAAATAATTCTCAAGCATCATTGCCTAAGGCTAAATGTACATCAATAAATGGCATCACTCGATCACTGAAATCTCTGTCATCAGATCAGTCATTGGAGGCATCATCAAGATATGGAGGCATTGATGCTGACCATGAGGGGATAACTGTGATGAAGACCAACAATCAAGGAGGGCGAAAATATGACAAGGTAGCTTATTGCATGATGTGTGAGAAGCCCCACAAAAAACTTCCTGATCACCTGCGGTCACAACATTCCAATGAAATAAAGGTGGCTCAATACATGGCAGCAACGAATCGAAAAGAAAAGGATAAGCTATTGACATTGATAAGAAATAAAGGAAATCACATGCACAACTACAGGGTCTTCGAAAAGGGTCATGGAGAGCTTGTGGTCGTATATAGACCTTCTTGTGAAGCAAAGCCCCGTGATTATCAGCCTTGCAAAGATTGTTTGGGATGGTTTGCGAAAGCCGAATTGTGGAAACACCGCTGCATTTTGAAGCAAGAAGAGCCGGCTAAGGAGCAAAAGAAAAAACGAAGAAGACTATTAGCACAAGGTCGACTCTTGCTTCCACCAGTGCCCTGCACATCAAGAGATTCTATAACACACAAAGTACTGAGTGGTCTCAGCGATGATGAAATCAAGGCCTGCATTCTAAATGATCAGTTGATTCTAGAATTGGCCAAGGTGTACTCTAAGAAATTGGGCCATGACGAAGAACAGCACAACCACATCAGATGCAAGTTACGAGAACTAGGAAGACTTGTACTTCAGTTCAGACGTTGCAGCTGCAATGGCAAGGCAAGTCTGACTTCCCTGATATCACCAAATGGTTTTATGACTGTCTTGAGTGCTGTCAAGAAAGTGGCAGGCTTTGATGAGGAGAACCACTTGTTCAATACACCAAGTCTAGCACTTAAGCTGGGACATACCTTAAGAAAGGCTGCCTTTGTGCTCCTGAGTAAGGCTTTGATGGACAGAGATGGGGATGACATGCAGAAACTTGTAGAAAAGTTCATCAAGCTGCTGGACACTTGTTGGGGATCTGAAATCTCTACTCATGCTCTACGAACTTTGTACCAGAGGAAACGAAACCAGCCCAAACTCCTACCCCTAACGAGTGATGTTGTGGCTTTGTCAAGACACCTAGAGGTACAGGCTGAACTTTGTGTAGACAAACTGTCATCTGGGACCGCAATCGAAAACCATAGCACATGGAGAGAACTCAACAAGACCATGCTGGCTCATCTCATTGTGTTTAATAGGAGGAGACAAGGGGAAATCAGCAAGATGACTCTTGATGACTACAATAAAATCAAGAAAGGTGAATCTCATATGGTGGAAGGACAACTAGAGATGCTGAAAGACTGGGAAAAAAATCTTGTAAAGTTTCTCTGGAGAGTTGAGGTAGTAGGAAAACGTGGCAGGACAGTGCCGATCCTTGTGACAGACTCCATGAAATCATGTGTAGACACCCTTGTATCCCACAGGGAGGAAGCAGGTGTAAACCCAAGCAACAAATACCTGTTCGCTGTAGCCAATAGTGACACTACATCTCATGTTCGAGGGTCAGATGCTCTCCGTGAGCTGTCAGAAGCATGTGGAGCACAAAATCCTTCAACACTTCGATCCACAAAATTACGGAAGCATGTAGCTACCATGTCACAACTAATGAGCTTGAGGGACCATGAGATGGACGCCTTAGCAAACTTCATGGGCCACGATATTAGGATACATAGGGAGTATTATAGACTGCCAGATGCTGCTATGCAGGTGGCCAAAATATCAAAGATCCTGTTCGCCATGGAGGGAAAAGCTGGGAACCCGGTCCAGCTGATTGGCACTGCAAAAAGTCTGGATGAGCTTCAAATCAAGTTAGATGAAGGTAAATTTGTGATGAGGGTAGAATTATACAGTGGGGATCTCAATCCAAACCCTAATGAGATGAGAAACATCATGGCGAGGGATGAGTGGGATGAATAACAAACCATGTAGCATGTACTAATTTTAAGAATCAAGTATTTCTGATTTCCACTCAACTTGACAATTATCAAATACAAAATATGTAAATTGATAAACATGCTGCAACATTATTGAATTAATGAAAAGTGTTGTTTTCAAATGAACCATGCAGTTAAATATTCCTCACTATATTGTTCACTTGTTTGTTTCAATTTATTTAGATTAGGGGTAATTAAGGCATTTGTTTGACTCGATCCACACATGTGGCATATACCTGGTGCCAATTCTACCATGTTGTATTTAGAAATAATTGATTATATTCTTTTGTTTTAAATTACAAGTATGTTTTCTTTGCAGTTGACCCAGATTTTCTTTTTGGTGAATATTATTGATTATTATTTTATGTACAGAGATCGACACTGGAGAACAGGGACCTGAATCATGTGATGACAATTGTGACAGCGATGTTGATTCTGGTGATCATGATGTCGAACGTCAGCTACCTGGATGCTCCCAAAAAGGTATGACTTTAAGTCCAATGAGAGCATCTAAAAAATTCCTTTTTGCAAACCTAAATGTTAATTTTGCCTATTGTACCGCACTCTCAATCATCCTCAAAATCCAAAGTGAAACCAAACTTTTTCCTGTTGAAATCACCACGTACCAATATTTGTGCATTTTGAATTGTTAAAAATTATAGCACAATTATAATTGTAATGTAGCCTCACAAAAAGGCTGTTGCCAATGACGGAGAAAATCTATTAGTGAATTTAATTGGTCTCTATATCTAAACTTCTCTAAACTAAAAAAAAATTGTGTACATACAATAATATAGACTCAGAAAGTATTATGTGATCGTGGCCCTTTTGTTCTAGACTGGGAGTCAGGGGTTGTCAAGGTAATACAAAATGTACTTTTTTTCATGCACACAGCAATCACTACAATATACTAGGAAATGGATGAAAATGGAGGCAGCCAGGAGCCCCTCCCAAATAAACCCAAAACTGAGCTAGATTAGCAAAATAAATGACCAATAGAAACCGGGTAGAATATGTGAAACATAACCCCATCTGTCATGACACTGTCAGATAATTTAAAGACTTGTTTGTGCCCGACTCCCCTAAACGGTAGATGCCCATAATTTCACGAAATATGAGCTTTACAAAATTATATGATGGCTTTCTTCCCGCAAAAAAAAATCGTTTAAGTGTATTCCTCCCAGGATCACACTCTATTCTGCATCACTGCAAAAGAGGATTTAAATATTCTTCCTCTCCTTCCATCCTCATAACAGTAATGCACTCTTCAAGTTCATGGGTCAGAGACTCAGAGAAACAGTATGTGATACTGCATTTATTATTCTGCATAGTATAATTGCAACATTTTTTTGTTATTGTCTTTCATTAGGTACCAAAAGGCAAAGGCAAACGCAACATGTACTGGAAGAGGTTGATGAACAGCCAATAAGGAAGAAACGAAAGACAGCATGGAGCGATGCGGAAAAGTCGGCTGTCCAGAGACGTTTAGGAGCCTTTATGACTGTTCATTCTAAGCTACCTGGCAAGAGAGCGATAGACGAATGCTTGAAAGCTGAAGCTGTGCTGAAACACAGAACGTGGGTCAACATCAAAGACTACGTAAGAAACTCGAAGGTTACCAAAAGCAGAAAAACACAGCCTTGGTAAAAACATTCCCTTTAATATCAAATCACCATTTTTATATTGAATACACACATGCTTTTGTTTTGAGTCACCAAACTGCTGAAAATGCTCATAAATTACAAGGCATGTTCTTGTTATTACAGTCTAAAATGTGTATTCTTTTATATTTGGTTTCTCCATGTATTCATAAAATGTTTACCCACTCTACTGGCAAAGGATTTGTTATTTTGAGGTTTTATTATCATTTTTGTAGGCATCCGGCAATTTGTAATTGTGTTAGGGTCTTAGTGGACCTATGCTTGGCCACTCCCAGATATCAATGACAGGGAGCATATCGTTTAGGCAACATGTACTGATTACAATGAGAATTTTGCAGCATGAGTTGGAAATATCCTATTTGAACAAGAAAAAAACCCATAGATTTTTTAACGAAATAAATCAGTGGAAGTTGTAATCAAACAGTCAAGTATTTGTATTTACATACCATAATGGCAGCATAAGAAGGCAGTAGGGGAATTGACTAGTGTAATGCTTGTACATTTGTGACACAATTAAAACTTAAACAACATTTATTATGAGAACACGTTCAGTATAGTGTATTAATATCATCATCAAGGGAGAGTGCCCTTATTATGTGTAAAGGGTGCCCCTTTTCATTTTGGACAGAACTTGTGTTGTTTCTGATATTATTATGGGGTTGTACTAAACACTCGGGTCGCGGCGCGCTGAAAAACACTCGGGTCACGGCTCGTTTGGCCATCTTTTTTTAAGTGTCTTCAAATCGGCTTTTTAATATAAGGGGGAAATCTTATTTCAAATTAGCGACTGTTTTTACACTCGGGTCGCGGCTCGCTGGGCCATTTTTTCAATGATGTCTTCAAAGGGGATGCGTGGGGAAATTTACTTTAAAAACGAAGTTGTAAGTTGTGATTGTTTTTTGTTCAATGATAGACAAATAAGAAGATTATAATTAAGGCTGACATCGGGAAAGACAAATATACTAGGTGGGTAAAGTGGATTTTAGATAAAGTGTAATAGTACATAGGTATATGATCTATTAATATGATAGAAACAAGGAAGAATGGATACAGTGAGAAGATGAATTGTGGGAAATTAAGAACTACCAAGAGAGGAATACAAAAACAAAGAATGAAAGAATGAAATGAATATTTCCATCATTCCTTGTAATATCCTATCAAGTTTTATTCCTCGCTTTATTTTCATATTTGTCAGTCTTTAAAAAATATTCTTTCTAAATTTTATTCTACCCCTTTATTTCTCATCTTTTTTCTATCATGTAAATCTTTATTTCCTCCACTCTTTTCTTTATATCTTTATCACTGTTAAATCTGACCAATGAATTCTTTCAATTCCCTTTTTATTAAATATTTGTTTTCTTTCATTCTTTCATGTAATCCTCTCTTGTTAGTTCTTAATTTCCCACAATTCATCTTCTCACTCTATCCATTATTCCTTGTTTCTATCAAATATACAGTTCATTTCCCTTGTAGTATTACACTTTCTCTAAAATCCACTTTAATCACCTAGTATTTTGTCTTTCCCAATGCCAGCCTTAATTCTAATCTTCTTATTTGTCTATCATTAAAAAAATAATAATCACAACTTCCAACTTCTTTTTTAAGAAAATTTCCCCACGCATCCCCTTTGAAGACATCATTGAATAAATGGCCCAGCGAGCCGCGACCTGAGTGTAAAAACAGTCACTAATTTGAAATAATATTTTCCCCCTTAAAAACCGATTTGAAGACACCATTTTGTTTAAATGGCCAAACGAGCCGCGACCTGAGTGTTTAGTACAAGCCATTAATATGGGATAGTGTAGAGATAGAATTTGTACACTTTTGTTTAATTAGCAATGCAGTAGTTTGTGCAGATTTAGTATAATTGTGGCAAAAAATAGAGGGGGAGTCAATGATCAGTGCCCCCTTTAAAAAGTAAACCGAATGTATGTTTGTTGTGAATTAATAAGAACAGATCTGAATATTATTCTCAGATTTCCCACATACATAAAATATGTCAATTTAGTGTTTAAGCACTAGACTATAGATGATGGTTGTAATGTGAATAATTAGTTGTGATGGGGGTCGGGGACCCAAAACCTTTTTTTTTTGTAATACCTTTGCAACAAAACAAATAAAAAGGGCTATAATAAAGGGTTGGTTCCAGTATAATCATATAAACCTACAATATTAATATGATTCACCTTACTTCTTGCTGATTCAATTTCATCCCTGGTCCCTTTTTTTTGGGGGGGGGGGGGATTTGTGATGTCAGTGAGTTCTCCTTCATTCTTCATCATTGTTCAAAAGTTGGCTTCTCCAACAAATTTGTATTGCGTCAGATTTGTGTTAAATGTATAGCACACAACTAATGATGATGCTATGATAGGAATGTAAAAAACAGATATGCTGTGTAGCTTTTTTAACCTTAGGTACTGTTAAACTCTACGTAATTATGTTCATCAAACTAATATCTGGAATCTTTTACATCCATTTTGCCCCCAAATCAAACTCCATCATGTTAAATGGTATCTTTGGAATGTACTATTGTTACCACTGACAAATATTCATATATAATATTTGAGAAACTTGGAAAAATGGATATTATTAATTTTGTCAGACTGAAAAGGGAATTATCCCTCAAATACTAACGCATTCATATTTATATGTATCACATGATTTTACAACAAAAGAAAATAAAATGGTATATAAATCAGGACTTTCTAGCAAACTGTGTGGTGTGCTAGTACTCTACCTAGGGGCTGCTATTTTCTTAGAGAGCAGTAGTGACTCTTGACCTTCAGTTTCAGTTTAGTTTCATTTATTTCACACTAAATAATTTCGAAATTACATGTGAAAAAAGGAACTTAATCAAAAGCATATAGCTTGTAGAATTTAAGTTCCTCAAAATAATGTTGACACAGTGTCATTCATTATAAGGTAGAAGTATGATGATACAAAATCAGAGTATACAGATAAAACAATGAAATGATATGGATGATGGATGTAAGAAAGAAGAGAACTAGGAAGGGAAGGTAAAGCATGGGGGTCAGGAGAAGAATGAGGAGAGAGAAAAGGAAGTTTTTAGAATAGAATATTCAAGGTCGGGAGTCACAGTCCAGAAAAAAATAGTATACTTGTGCATTACATGTACAAATTTAATACTAACAATTTGATATGTTTTTTAAAGCTGCAACAGTTCTTAAGCTATTTGAGATTCGGATCAATGGTGCTTCAGTAGTTTGGTCCTGTGTATGAAATAGTTTTTATGGCGAAAACTGCCCTGGTTAGGGAGGATGATAGTTTGTACGTGTTGCATGTCGTGTTTGGTATGTGTGTAAAGCATCATTTTTTGTAAAGCGTTCAATTATGGCTGATGGGAGTATTGCTAAATAACATTTAATTATTTTTTTGTTTAATATTCAAGGAGACTTTGTTTGCCTGGATCCAAGAGAGGGCTTTTGGCTTTCTTGCTGTGTGTTTACAGCAGTGGGCTCTTTTTTTCTTCATTTCTAGTTATGAGTTATGTTGTTCAAAGTTGTTACAGATGTTATCTTTTGTTTTCATTAATTGGTTGCTTAATTTCTTGTTATGGTTTGAGGTGGGTTTTGTTTTTAGGTTTTAGAATTCTAGATTTTTTTTAGAATCCCTGGGGATTTTGCGGTAGTAAACCCCATTTATTTAAGTGGCAGAATTCATTTTATGCCTCAACCTTTCATATCATTCCAAACACACAAATATACTATACATGTGTATAAATTAAGGATGGCCGGCCAAGAATGAACAGTAATATGATCTGTTATTTTAACAAGACCTCAAAGAAATCATGAAATATGCGTAGGCTGAGTTGATCAATTCTTCAAGTAAATGATATCAATATCATCTATTTTGCCTTCGTTTGTATTCTAACCTCATTTTCTGTGGCAATGTCAACTTCACAATATTGCACCATTCTTTTACCCAGGTGATGTTAGAAATAATTCTTTATTCGTAATCCCAATTATAAGACATTTTTCTACTACATGCATGTTTAATCTGTAGATTTTTGCAAATGTGGTGCAATGCCTGTGGTTCAATTGTATTGATTGGTACTAATGCCCTTTTTATGTACACGTTCGGACTTAACTCCTAATTGCATATCATCGCTGGACGTGTTTAACCTGTCTCTTGTAAATTTCATGATTTGCATGTGCCTTTGAAGACTGTCAAATAATTGTATCGAAATAAAGTATATTTTACAGAAATTCAAAGAAGATAAACTATTGTTTATTACAATTGGCATTTATTTGATTCTATCTCGTCTTTTTCCTCTGTAGTACAATACACCTGCTGGTGTATGAGATATTTATAGAAATAACATGATAATTCTGTGATTTTTGTTTTCCCTCTTTAACATAAGTCATATTTTAAAATTAAGAAAGAAAATGATTTGCTAGATAATACTGCATAGTTTTAAAACTGTAATTATATCCAATTTTATAGTGGCAAGTATGTATATGTTTGCAGGAGGTGTGTTAAAGAATTTAATAGAATTCGAGGATGAAAGGAAAGAAAATATTAAGGGAAAGTGGTTTGATACCACATTGATCGAGGAATTGTTAAAACATGTTGAAAAAGATGACAGTTTCGTCCTTAAATTGAATGAAGATATAGTTAGAGAGAGAGAAAGAGAGGAGCACAGGAGAAAGTTTTGCAAACTTTTTGTGTGGTGGTGTCATTAAGTTCCGTTGGTACGTACAGTGGAATTATTAAAGTTAATTTCCTTCATTATATCTTTCCCAGCTTATCTATTAATAATTTCAACGTGTGCAAGCACTGTAACATCATTTGCGATATAGTGATTCCTTACAGTTAAAATAATGAAGACATATCAGTACGCAATATAGTACAAACAAGCTCAATCTTTATTTTGTATATGTGTCTTCTTTCTTCAAAAGACATAAACGTTATTCACAAAACATAACATTTTCACAAGTCGATACGTCAAAATGCAAACATGTATAAGAGAAAAGAATAAATGTTACAAACATATTTTGATGATAGTAAGAGAACAAAAGGAATCTCATACAAAGAAGCAATGATATTAATCCAAACTCTATACCACTAGTGATAACGATTAATTTAAAAACATTTACAAATATGAATTGTATTCTTTCCTTGAAGTGCCGAAATCTTCCCCCTCCCCCCGAAAACAAAAATAAAGAAATATAAATATCCTTATGATAGAATAATGGTTTTTATATACATGGGGGGGGGGGGCTAGAAAGAACGGAACACCTGCGATCTACAATTACAACTTCATCATTGACCTAATTCTTACTTCATTAAGAAGATCATTCTTTTTCGAAATGATAAAAAATGATGTCAAGATCATCAACTTTGAGTCATTATGTCATTTTTATTGGAAATATCCGGTTTTCTTTCTTTCTGAGCCACACAATATAGTGTGACAGTTCATGGGCAATTCCTTTAAATTACCTTGATCTCTTGACACTGATAAAAGCTAAGCCAACATTTTTATTGAACCTGAGTAAGTGGAACTGATGTTGGGATTCCTAGGATTACATTTGTAATGGCTTCCATCAGGGGCGGATCCACGTAGCGATTTTTCCGGCCCGGCCCCCCCCCCCCAGCCCCCCAAAACGATAAAAAAAAATAGGATAATAACGTAAAGTTAACCTTTATAAAACAAAAAACAAAAGCGCCCCATCCCCCCCCCCCCGCTTATTCGCCGGCCGGCTGAGACGGCACTAAATTTTGTATTAAGATTTGGCTACCCCCCCCCCATTGGCGCCGGCTGGATCCTCTGCAGGCGTGGATCCACGGGGGGGGGGGGGTGACGGGTCAACAACAACAAAATCTCACGAATTAGGTCACACAAAAAAAATAGTGGTCTCATATTCACCGGCTGACTAAGTCGGCGCAAAATATTTCCTAAAAAATTGCACCCCAAAAAAATGCTTCCTACCCCCCCCCCCCGCTTATTCACCGACGGCTGAGTCGCAACTAATATTTTCTCACGGATTGGGCCCCCCCCCTCCCCCCCCCCCCTCTTCCCGCCGGCTGGATCCGCCACTGGCTTCCATACAGTAAATCAAGATCATATTTATCAAGACTTTTTACATGATACACAATGGTCAACTGTTGACCATAACTCTTGTTTCTAAGATTGATATTATATTGTGGAAATTAAGATTTGAAAGACAGTATTGCCTTCATTGTTTTAAATACAAGCAAACATAATAATATCCTTTTTTGCATGAGTTAGTTCGAAGTTTACAAGGAAAAGATAAAAATCGACAAACTCCACGTTTGCTAGGTCTTATGCCTACTTCCCCGATTGACAATGACTAGATGCAGACACCGCACTTTCATAGCTCAAATTCAGACGAATCATGTGTAAGAAGAAGTAAACGTTTTTTAGTATCTTTTGACATTTGAATGGGCTTATTGTGATTTTCTTTCCTCAAATTTGATAAAATATTGCTTATAAAGCCTATATTTATTACCTCCACAGTTTCATGGTGTTTTGCCTACCTCCCCGATTGAAGGCGTTTACATGTATGTGTGTGTATGTGCACAGAGCAGACTGTGTGCACAGGCAGTGTGGTCACCCTACTACTACTACTACTAATTATGATGATGACAAAAGTGATTATAATATAAAAAATAGAAAAATAATTCTAATAATAATTATAGTAATAATAACAACAATAATATTTGTTTTAATGTATAATAATGTGTATTATTTTCCGCATTATACTGTCCTCCGTTTTCAGCCATGCAGTAGCTTAGGCTTGAATGTTTCTTTTTACATGCTTTCTGTGGTCATATTCAATAAATGAGGTATGTGATACTAAATAAGGATATACAACAATGACAATACTGAAGCATTGGGAGTTGGATCATCACTTTTTGAATATATTAAGCTTATACCGTGTGAGTAAAACAAAAAAAAGAGTTTACACCTAGAAAACACTCTTTCATAAGATGTATAATAATTTCCTGTTCATAGATGATTTTTAAAATAATTAGCAATTTTCCAAGTGTAAACTTTTTTTTGACTCACACTGTATATGTATAAGTTCATACGTTCAGTTTGTTCAGCCCCCTAGCTCACCCCCACTTCATCTCTCTCCCTAACACACACACACACATGCGCACACACACGCACATACCCACACACACGCACTCACGCACATCCATATACACACACATGAACACACACATACGCGGACGCACGCACACGCGTAGACCATGACACATATATATTTTTTAATAACATTATATTTTACTCAAATATTTATTCTCCTGAAGTGCCGACAAAATGTTTGCTTAGCATGATTGTGTGTCCCTTCCCCCTGCGAAACAGTAAAACAGTTTTATAGCCTAATTAATCGGCATCGATGTCGAAATATGATGACGGGTGATATCATAGCATTTCATTTACACCTAAGGAACTTCCATTTCCAACTTGGTTCAAGACAACTAATCTCTTTCCTTATGTTATGACATGACTACACAAAGACTTATATATAAAACATACGTCGGACTACAAATTCATTATAATAATATCATTATATTACTATATCGTTGTGTTTACGTCTTCATCTTGTTTGTTTGTTTTTATTTCCGAAATCCATATAATATACAAACAAGCTTAAAAAACATACATATAAAACACATTTCAAACGATAAGAAAGTAAGTAAATGTGTAAAGTATAGACAAACGGTTGGATATCCCATTTCAGGACCATTTTCAAAATGGTCCTGTTCTTCCATGGGGTTCAAAAGCAAAAATCATATTAATTTACATACAATATCAATTTGTATAAAACTCATAGTAATTTACCAATACACTACCCCCCCCCCTTATCGATCCCCCTTACCTCACCACCCCCCCCCCCCCCCCGCCCTCTCGATACTGCCAACCCCTCCCGGTACCCCTTCCCAAGTCCTCCACTGTATATTATCTCTGTCATAACATTTCAAACTAAACCTTTTCTTTCTTTATTGAATATAGCCAAACTTCTTGATTGTCGAATGTGCATGGACAATCCATTATACAATTTACTTCCGCGATACAGAAACGTACGCTTACAATTCTGTGTTTTCGGTTTAGGCAAAACTAAATTAGTACTTCTAAGGGCATAGTTTGTAGTCTTAACAATAAACTTCTCTTCCAAATATACAGGTGCCAAATCGGGAATTTTTTTTATACATGTTGCTACCTTGTTTGGCGTTCAACAATAAGGGATAGAGCAACGTCGATCTGGCGCTGCTCAGTGGTTGCCGGGCTCACGATCAATTGGGCAAAAAGAATTTCCGTTTCGGTTTAATAAAATTGGAGTGGACTATTAGGCTATTATTATTATTATTATTATTATTATTATAACTGTGCCTAACTTGTCTGTGCCTAACTTGTCTATTTCATTTCTAAAATTTCCCAATTCAAAATATCATGAAATTCACTATTTGGTTTATGTTCAGATAATTTAAATTTAAGATTAATTCTACCAGCCCTGTTCTGTAATTTTTGTAACTTGTCTACTTGAGACTTAGTGCCCGAGTGCCATAACACGTCACCATAATCAAAATGTGGCAAAATTGCGGCATTATATACAAGTTTTAACCCAGTCTCATGAACATAGTTACGCAACCTTCCTAAGAAACTAATCATTTTTCCAACCGTTTTACATAATCCATCAGTGTGTACATTCCACTTTAATTCACAATCAATAAAAATACCTAGATATTTAAATTTGTGAACTTGAGCAATATCATTATCATTAATATTTAAGTTCAACCTACTGTGTCTGTTCAACATATATCTAGTGCCTATCAGCATACTAACAGTCTTAGTACAATTTATTTTCAACTTATTACAATTCATCCAAGAATATAAGTTATGCAATTCAATATTCAAAACATTTTCAATATTACAAGGGTCTTTATCTGAATAATATATAACGGTGTCATCTGCATAAAGGTGAACCGAACATTTTTCAAAACAAGAGGGCATATCATTAATAAATATAAGAAATAGTATGGGGCCGAGAATAGATCCATGGGGTACCCCGTGTGTAAGGGGTAGTTCTGACGACAGCGTATTATTAATCGAAGTTATAATGCGTCTACCATTTAAATAGCTTCTAAACCAATTCAAAGATGAACCCTGTAAACCAACACAGGGGGTTAATTTTGCCAGAAGAATTCCGTGGTCTACTAAGTCGAAAGCCTTTTGAAGATCAACAAAAACATCTCGTGAAGCAAAGTCTACT